GTAGATTTGAAAAATGCTCCTTATTAAAATCTTTCAAGGCAAGCTTCAGCTTCTTTAAGTAACCTATGGCAAATCCATGTGAAACATGCTAGTTAGCTATAAAATGATGTTTAAATACTTAAAACGCTCTTTTGATTTAGGATTAACTTTTAAAATGTGCAATGAAGGAATAATACTTAAGAGATATACTGATTCTGATTTTACTGGTGTCTTAGATAAAAGAAGATCCACATCATCTTATATCTTTACTTTGCATGATGGGTGCATTAGTCAAAAATCCCAATAACTAAAATTAGTTGCCTTGTCTTTAACTAAAGCTGAATATATTGTTACCTGTGATGCTGTTAAAAAAAGTCTTTGGTTAAGCGGGTTATTAAGTGAAATTGATTTTCTAAATAATTCTGTAAAAATTTATACTGACAGTCAAAGTGTTGTACATCTTAGAGAAAATCCTGTATATGATAGAACAAAGCATGCTGATATATAGTTTCACTTTGTGAGAAACATGGTGGAAAAGGTTTGATTTCCTTAGTTAAAATTCCTCTAGAATACAATTCCTCTGATTTAGGTACCAAAATTCTGACTTTAAAAAAATTTAGAAACTGCTTGAAGATTCTAAATATCACTTGAAGGTAGTAACCTAGTGATAGTTGGAACATCAAGCCTCATTTGCTGAAATTTGAACTAACTTTGATATTTATTTTTCTTATAGGTACTGAGAGCAAATGGAGTTCAGTAATGTCTAGATTCATGCCAAGAAATAGTTCAGAAGGTGGAGATTGTGAAACATTTGGGCTGCCTCATTATTTTTGGACTATTGGGCTAATTAAACTTTTAAAAATGACTTTGGCCCAATTATAAAAAGGCGTTTTTTGTTACACGTTTTTTCCTTCAAAGTGGGCTATGATCTACAGTACACGTTGCTGAATCTTGACCCTAGATTTGAGCCGATTCATATGGATAGATCTTATAATTGGTCGTTTCATTTTCTCAAGTGATTATTCAATGTATTGGTTTTCTTTCGAAAAAGTTCTCTCTCTTTCAAGGTTTGGTTTTCTCTGAAAATCTGTAACTCTCCATCTTTGTGATGTAATCTCTATTTTGGCGAGATTGAGGGTTGTTTAGTACAATCTATATAAGAGTTATCTTAGAGTTATTTTTTGTTACTGATTTGAGTATACAGAGACTAGAAAGAGCTTTGAAAAAATTCAAACATTTATATGATTTCTTAGTTGATCTTAGTGGATTTGGAGCTATGTCTCTTGGTAAATGCTCAATAGGAAATTAGGTCGTTTGATTGAACATCTGACCCTTTTCACGGTAAAACAATTCTTGTGTTCTTGATCTTTAAAGTTTCTGCAATTTTTGTTTTTTGTTATTCAAATTGGTTCACTACGCACTAAGACCAACACATATCATTTCATAAGTTAGAAAACACAGCATTGTTTGAAAAAAAAAATGTATAATATCAAATAAATTGTTACGCATAAGTCACTTTTTACTCTGCTTAATGAAATCATATATCATTATAATGGGAAAAGAAATTACATAACTTATTCCAAATTCTAATCATTAGCATGCTTAATGGGCGCCCTTAATATCTGGAAAATGTTTAATTGATTTTAGAATAATAATGAGATTGAGAGGTCATTTATGTATTTTGCACCAAAAAAGTACATATGAGACCAAGGAAAATATTACAAGTATGGGAAAAAATACATAGACCCTGTGAAAGTTTCACGTAGGGCAATTTCCCAAATATGACCTGATTTGTCAAGTTTATCTATGATTATAATCCATCTGAATCAACTTTCATACATTTTAATTCACATATAGATATACCAAATTAATTTATGGGAGTATTTTTTATATTTCTTGAGAAAAAGTATGGACGTAAGATGTTTACAAAATGGCAATTATTTTTTCCATTAAAAATAGTTTTCTTGTTAATTGATTTCTATTGACCGTATACAAAATTAAAAAATAACACTTAAATTAAGGATGAATATGATTTAGTTTAGACGTTTTGTGATACATTTTCAAATCAAACCATTTAAAGTGGTTTGAAACTTTTCCACACCAAACCAAAAATATGATTTGTTCTCTACCTAAAGATAAAAATATGATAAATGTATTCATCAATTATAACTAAGTGATACAAATTAACCAATAAAAGAGAATGAAAGATCAAATACAATAATAATTTCTATAACTTTCTCTGAATTATTTAATGCTTCCATCATCAACCATATTTATGCTAAACGACTTCTAAACAAAGCAATAATTTAATCATTTAAACTATGAATATTTGAATGACTAACACATCTTTGATATTTTGACGACAATTTTGTGTTAGTTTGATGCCCCTTCTTCAAGTAGTGTTTTCTAAAATCACATTATGAATTGACGTTTATTTATTTGCGTGTTATAATTTGAAGCGATTATCTAAGGTTCCATGATCATATATGATGTCACAAATTGTATACTCGATAGTTTGGATATAAGTAAGACACAATTTGTGATGTGATCAAAATTATGTCGTTCACAATCAGTATATAAAGTTGGATAGTTTGATAAGTTTGCATTGCTCTTATTAAGATTTGTCTAAATCTTGGAAGAAGAACAATAATATGTTTCGATGCATATTGAACGGGTCCGCATAGATAATTCATTTGTGACCGTTCAAAATGAGACTTTATTAGATTATGAAACAAGTCACTTCAATTCTGAGTGAGTAATATATCTTTGATTGCTAGTTCAAGTTCTTTAAGGTATCAATGAGTAAACTCTTAAATAGAAGATTGATGTCAGTACTTTGGGAATTGAGTTGAAATAATTAGAGATCATATACTTGCAATAGTGGAATCCATTAATCATTAAGATGAGACGATCATCACTCCAAGATATTTTACTAGGCAAATTGAACTTGAGTTCAGTAGTCCGACGATGAGATCGTTGGATTTTATATTGTGATTTGATCACAACGAATGTTGAAGGGCAAAATGGTGATTTTGTCAGTTTCAACATATTGGCGATCAAATGGGGGTCGACTTGTGGAACGATAATCAGAGGATATTGTTATTGAATTATAATTTGCTTCGATAATTATCACTTGACTCGAGAGTACAATATTGAATTTTTGGTAGAATAAGTCGGGATTAATAAATGTATCTCAATTGATCAATAGTTGATCCAATTAGAAACATCTATTGGAGCTTGAGTCATGTGAATCCAATAAGGTCCTTCTCTTGGCTCCAATAAAAGGTGTGTGACTTAATTTGTCTACTACAATAAAGTTCAAGGAAATTTGTTCTATTTCAAAACCCTAATTGAGCATTATAAATAGGCTTATTATATGTTTCTACAAGATTTAGGGTTAGCCACTTTTCATTTTTCCAAAAATGAATACACCTAGAGAAAAAAATGGAGAAGATCTGGGGGGGAGGAGGGGGAAGTATTTGGTTAGGTCATTAAAAGCTCTTTCAAATGATATCATCTTCCCTATCAATGTATGATGATTTAATAATCCAATGATCTCAAAGTTACCAAAAATTCTGATTATCATGGTTTTAATCTTCAAAGGAAAATTAATTTTCTATTGTGATGATTAAATCTATTAACCAATATTTTGTACTTATTTTCATTCAATGTTCACGAAAGTTTTATGTTAGAACGTTCAATATTCAAATCTTTACAACAACCATTTAAGTAATTCATCAAACATTCTCCTCAACAAGACTTTCCCACATAAATCTAGTTTTAAAAAATGAGGCAACAGTTTGGATCTCTAAGAGTTTGTGAAGAACTTTAGCTTTTAAGTTGAGTAGCATCACTAGATTTAATCAGGATGTCTAATATAAATGTCTCTTTTTAATTGAGATATGTTTATTTTTAATTGTATTAGATAAATTTTAAATTAAATTATTTTCAAATTTATTTTTGTAAGGGATTTAGTGGTTTGAAACGGTTTGCAAAAATTAAAATTTAAATCGAAACACTTCAAAAGAGGTTTGGTTTAGTTCAAAATTAAAGTATTGAGGGATCAGCGTGGATCCGAATCAACGATTTTGAAAAAAGGGATTTTGATTCGATTTAAAGATTTGACAAATTTATTTTTTATCCCTAACCTAAATCACAACACGTTAACATAGTAAAATGCCACACCCACTCTTTATCTGCCATGTAGCATATGGATTAATGGGATGTTAAGTTAATGGTATGAGAATTTAAAATTTAACTGCAAATTATAAACAATTTAAAGTTTAGGAACTCAATAGAAACGTGGGTAAAAGTTGAAGAACGAATGAGGCATTTAACACCCACTAAACCTCAGTATAGCTTTGACATCTCTGAAAATGTGGTAACATGTCAACATTTTATTGATTGAAAAGCTGAAGAGAACAAAAATATGAAGACATAGAGTATGCTCGAAAAGTTTTATAAACTATTTAAATTATAAATAAATAGAAACAAATGATGAATGAGTTAATAAGTTAATATCTAACCCTTGTGTGATAAAACTAAAATTCAGATTTTTTAGTGCCCCTCATGGGGTGGTCGAGTTGGTAGAATAGGTAAGTGTGGAGGTTTTTGGTCACGAGTTCGATTCCCTTATCAACACTTTCTCAGTTGAGCCTATCGCACAGGATTTGCCTAGTGCGATTTATCTGATTGACGTGATTTGCAGACTATTGCGCATATTCGAGGGTTTATCCAGTGCGCACTTAAAAGGTAGCGGATGTAGGTTCCCTTGTTATAAAAAAAATAAAATCATATTTTAGTTCTCATCAAATTGGGGGTCTAATTTTAAATCTCTCAAAATTTGTAAATAAATAACAAATTAAGTCCGTATTTGTTAAGAGATCAAAATTCAGATTTTAATCTAAATTAAAATTAATAATTAATTTTAATAATATATTTAAGATTCGCAACTCCTCAACTATAATATCTATCTATTTTTATTAAAATTTACTAGAAATCAGCTCTAGAGAATCAAAACCCAGAGTTTCTGTCAAAATAGTAGGTGCTCGTGAAAAGCCGGAAGGGCCGGGCTTTTTTTTATTCCCGAAAAGAGCCCCTAGTGCGCCCGAGCCAGTTCTGCTTCCCGTTCTTTCTACCCCCATCTAAGACAATGAAGTTCTTAATTTTAATTACGTTTCTGTAAGTAATTGCATTCGGATCCATCTCTGGGAACGAACCCCCTGTAAGTAATCCTCTTTGCCTCTCATCCTCAATTTACATATTTTATTATTTACACTTTTTTCCCCAATTTTTTTTTTGCTTAGCAATTATTATGCACAAATAGAAACACGTACTAATGATAATGGAAGTGTTTTTTTGGGAGGAGAACTCTTATGGGTGCAATTTTTTTCCCCTCAAAATTTTATGACAGAGATGCCTAGAAATTTTAAATTGATGGGTCTTTAATTTGATTTTATTTTAAAACAAGATTCTATCAAATGATCTGTTTTGATGAATGACATGGAGTTTGTGTTCTGGTTAATTTTGAGATGATTTGGTATTTCTTCAATTCTTTTGAATTTCTCGGTGTAACTTTAGAAATTTGAGTATGAATGAAGGTTTTATTTTTTTTTATTTTTTTATTTTTTTTGTGGAAGAGTTATTGTAAATTTCTTCCCATAATTGGTTTTCATTGAATTTCTCTTCTCTAATAGTATATTTTTGTCAGTAAAGACCTCTGGATACATTGGTTTATGCGAACTTGTTAATAGTATTTCTTTTAATTAAGGTATTACCGTGTGCTTTTGATATATAATTTTATATATTTGTAGAACAATTTGCGTGAGGTTTTGTTTATGATTCCAGTTATAACTGTCAGTATTGGCCCACTTCTAGTTCTAATGATAGTTGTTAATCATAGTTGTGCTGGTGATGAAACTGATTTTTTCCATCATCCTTAATTGAATTATAGGTTGATACAAGTATGTGATGCTATATTTGGCTGGAGAAATGTACCTTTTGTTTAGAGATGAAGGTTTGCTAGAAGCATCAGAAGGAAGTGGCTTATTTTTATTTTTAAATGAGAATGGATAAAATTCGGAAGAACTGTCCTTAATGGGGTGGCGCAGTGGGAAGCTATTATACAGTATACTTTAGATGAAAAGAAAATGCAACAGTTATATACGAGCTTCTAGGTTTCTATATAGACAAGAGTTCAATTTATTACCTTTTATAGGAAACTAAAATATGTTGCAGCCTGCAGGGAGTAATGTGTAAAACACAAGTACTGCCCTAATTTTTTGTAGAAGTATGAAGTGACTGACTATAAGCTTAACTATCAGAAACTTGCTAGTTAATAAAAGGAAAAATTAACCTATTTTAACTTTTTAAAATGAGAATCTTATAAATTACTAACAGAAAAATGGAAAACTAAATCTCAAAGGCTTGTGCACAGTTTATTAGGCTTCCTTATATATTCCTGCATTATGAAGTTGTGGGTATGCATGCATTTTCTTTCCTTCTGTGTTAAGTGATTGCAAAAGTTAGGTATCTAACTTATATAGCATTTACGTGCTTTCTTCTCAGTTTTATACTTTGATTTATTATTTCGAGCTCCTTTTCTTATCTTGGATTTGCTGATTATTGAAATTTTTTCATTTTTTTTTCCATGTTCTGGTAGCAGGTTTGTTCCTGTTGGAATTTTGCGAAGGACAAATTTTCTTTTTGTGCTGCTACATTTATTATCATGAGTTTTGTCTTCCGAGGCACAAGAGGAGATATAGAAACTGGATTTCCAGATTTTATTCCTGAGCGGCGTGCAGTGGTAATCTCTTGCTATTTATTAATCTTTCCTTTACAAGCCTGCTACTCAATTTCAATTTTGAAATGCTTATTAATATTCTTGAATCCCAAACATGTTTATGTCATTTGCCTGGTTATTCGATCAGCGTGTAGCAGCTCGACCAATCAATACAAACTCACTTGCTTTTCTCGTCACAGGTATCTATCGTTTATTGCTATTTGTCTTGTGACATCGTTTGACCTATTGATTTCAATATGTAATCGCTCATTTTATATATCAGTGTTTTTGCTGTTTATGATTTTGAACTCACATCAAATGTCGCCTAACTTCCTGGTAAGTATTATCTTCACGACGAATCTAGAGTTCATCTACTTCAGTAAGAAGTAATGTCTAATGGATTGCTTAAGAAATATTACACATATCTCAATTTCTTTTTGTCTTTTTAAAGCTCTGGTTGGTGCTCGGTGTCTTTTTGATGGCAACAAGCCTAAGAATGTATGCAACTTGTCAGCAACTTCAAGCTCAGGCACAAGCTCATGCTGTTGGATCTAGTGGCCTTCTTGGCCACACTGAATTGCGCTTGCACATGCCACCATCCATAGCCCTTGCAACCAGAGGGAGATTGCAAGGTCTGAGACTCCAGCTTGCACTTCTCGACCGAGAATTTGATGATTTAGGTATGAATTCAGGTTGAAACTCTTGTTCCGTTTCTTGGCTTATTTCAAATCTTACTTGAGATTATACTGTCTTGTGTCCCATTTGTCAACATCAGTTATATTGGCGATTATCTCTCTGAGACGGGTGATTACTTGAATCATTTGGATGAAAAATAATTGTTATTTGTTGCTGTGTGCAGATTATGAAACACTGAGAGCACTGGATGCCGATAATGCTCCTACAGCCTCTATGACTGATGAAGAGATAAATGCTCTTCCAGTTCACAAATACAAGGTTTCTGGATCTCAAAGGTTAGTCATGGTTTGGCATCCTGTTATGCAAGTTAAATTCTCAAATTTTCGACTTATCTTTTCCTTATTTTTCTTTTATTTCATCTGGCTCTTTATGCTTTACAGATGACGTGCTTGTAAAATTATGAGTAAAGATATAAAAAAATTTCTGTTCAATTTTTAAATATTAGAATGTTATTTTTGAATTCTAGTTTATCATTTTTTGCTGGCTATTCTTGCCTTTTAATTCTCTTGGGGATTTGACACCACAAGCCTTGGGATATGGATCTTAGCTGACATCAATATTGGAGAGATCCTCCTGTCAACTTCAATGTGGGAAGTTCTTAAAGTTTTGATGTTAGCTATTTTTCTTTCCATCAATAATTTATTTTGGACGATTCTAAGTTAATGTAATTAATTTCTTCGCACTTATAGCTAAATTTTTTTGACGTAGCTGTGTAAGGGCAAAAGGGTTTCATACAGCCGATTGCAAATTTATTAGGAATTAAGCTTGATTAGTTGTTGATATCACATTTAACTCCTAGTTTGTTATCAAAGTGATGACATTATAAAGATGCAGCAAACTAGGTTAGTCAACTTTTTCACCTATGGAAATGTAAGCATATACCGTACATGTGGCTGTCTATATGTTTGACGATAGGTAATCACGATCACCTCTGTTTGAAAAGGGATATATTCCATTGTTTATGAGATGAGTTTGCCCTCCCAAACTGCAACAATTTCCTCAATTTTTTTAATTTTGAAGAATTGAACTAGTTTGGAACTACAAAAACCGTTATTCCCAAAAAATTCGGAGTGCGCTACATGAACCATCTTTAGCCACTATTTTGTTTATTGCTAGATCCACTGGAGGATCTAAAGCTACTAAATCCTTAATAAATACAACATGCCATAATATTTTTTGTCTAGTCTTCCCTCTTTTCACTTGTGCTATCAAGATTGGGTCAGTCTCTTTTTAGGTTTGTGCAAACTATGTAACATCCAGTGTGATGTAGGGTAAATAGAAAGAAATAAGAAGGAGAAAGGAGGGGAGGACCACTAAAGCGAACACAACTGAGTTACCAACGAGTGTACGCTCAAACTCCGTAGGACTAATGATGTGCAATCCCTTTCGTTTCACACTTTTCTTTGTTTCCAGTGGGCCAGCAGGCTTTGGGGGCAGTGGGTTAAGGTAAATCTTTTTTCCATTAAACACGAAGGAGCAGGAATTGGATCGACCATAGATAGTTATATCTAGGTCAAATAAGCAAGTTCGTCCCAAGATGATGTGCCCGACGTCCATTGAAATGACGTCACACCATATATGGTCCTTATACTCGAGAAATTGGATAGGGACTAAACAACGCTCCTTGACAGCTATGAAGGAGGTATCAACCCAAGAGATACTGTATGGCTGAGGGTGAGGAACAGACTTCAACCCTAGACGGGATACAGTAGCCATCGAAACCGCATTAATGCAGCTGCCACTATCCACGATAACTTTACAGCCCTTATTATTAATCTTGATGTAAGTGGACTAGCTTGAATACAACCCAAGAAGGTATCTTCATTATCCTCCAAGTCATCAAACTCTTCTAACTTAGGCTCATAAACCTGATCCTCTAGTGACTCGTCAACTAGACCTTCACGCTCTTCCAAAATTAGGGCTCGGCTAGGACACTTAGAAGCAATGTGACCAAAATCTTTACAGTTGAAGCATTGTAAACGAGAGGACGTACTTGAAACCTTAGAACCTCTACCTTTACTATCCGATTTAGGGGTAGTATTAGAAGGAGGAGGTCCTAGAATAGACTTAGGGGATGGAGTGGATGCAAAAGAGGTTGCAGTGCGGGAGTCACTACGACTTCTGTACGGTATCCTAGTCACTAACTCATAATCCCAAACGAAAGAGTAGGCGTGGTCAAGAGTGGTGACACCTCTAAGAACAAGCTCACGTCTAAGATCATTCCGTAGGCCTTGCCTAAACCTACTCAAGGTCATGACTTCATCCTCAACGACCTGACATCTCATTCGAAACTCGTCAAACTGAGCAACATATTCGGTCACAAGTCGATTGCCTTGCGTAAGTGCATTCCATTGATCCAGCAAGTTGCCCCTGTAAGATTGAGGTAAATATTTTTCTTCAAGGCGGCGCTTCATTTCATCCCAGTTCCTAACAGGGGGGAGCATGGCGCCTCTCTAGGAGGTCCTCAACACTTTCCCAAAACAGTTGATATGTACCAGTTAATTTCAAACTAGCAAATTGTACCCTTCGATCTTCAGGGACCTCATACCAGGTAAAGAAGCGATCCATATGTCTAACCCATTGATTGAATACACTAGGATCTAGACAACCATCAAATGTAGGGGCATCTAACTTAATATTTCGAAAGAGGCGCTCCTCGTGGCGAGGGGGAGATAGTGTACCATGACGGTAATATTCCCGCTCGCGTCCACGAGCTTGATTTCCCTTCCTACGATCATGTCTAGCATGGTGTCGACCACCTTGTGGACGACGATGAGGTCTATTAATGGAAGCGTCAGAAATTTCAGCTTCAGTTGAGTATTGGGTTGGGTCAAGAGTGTTTACCCTAGCGGTTAGGGCTCTATTCTCCTCACGAGTAGCGGCTAACTCAGTTTGGACAGCCGTTAATTAGTTTTGTAATTGTGCCAACTGTCGGGTGATAGCTTCAATGTGGGAAGGGTCCGTGGTAAGGGTACTAGCATTAGACGCAGTAACTCGACCACTACGCAATTGCATATACAATAACACAAGCTAAGTGAAGTGCACTACTGAGATCAATAACCAACGAGTGCCAACAAGGATAATAGTGATTGAAATTTATCTATTGTTATTATTATTATTTTATTTAATTTTAGGGATTACGTATGGCCCGATCGCAAGCTAATACTACTAATGCCAATAAAATAAAAAAGCAAAGGTACAAATGTTAGGTCTAGTCACGTGGGGTAAATGAGTGAACAATGGGGCCGGCTCGTGAATTTTAATCCAATAGATTTAATGCTAAATTATCAAAATATTAGCAACACAAAGAATTAATTGATGCAATTCTAAAATACAGTAACAGTGTCACTAAAAAAATAGATAGGAGCAGAGGCTCCCTGAGTTCAGTTGGCCTGAATCGTCCCAGCGTCGAATGCCTCTACTTTCTGAACTATTAAGCTCTGAGATGCCAAAATAGAAAATTCCGTATTCGTCGAGAAAATAATGTACCTGTAAAATAATGTCAGGAAATTCTCAAAATTCTCGAATTTTTTTTTTTGTTTTTTGTTTTCTTACTCTTTTTTCTTTTTGACTCATTCTTTTTTTTTTTTTTTTTTTAATAATACTTACAAAATCAGAATAACAAAATAATAAATGAGTCCATTTCACAAAATTGGGCCTAAATCAAATTCAAATTCTCAATCAAGCCCAAGCAATAACTAATAAAACCAACCCGATTCTAATAAAGCCCAAACCCAAGTGAAAACTAATAAACCAACCCGATTGAAATCAAGCCCAAACCTAATTGATAACTAATAAACCAACCCGATTGAAAAGTTGTGGGAGTTGGCGTCTGGGAGGTGGCCGACGAAGGAGAGTCTCAACGATGTGGGGCGCCGGTTTACTAGCAGAAGTCCGAATTTGTAGAGGAGATGAGACGTAGGTAATTGGGTCGGGTTTGGAGGAGGCGGTTACGGTATTATTGTTTTCGGCAGTTGGGCTTGGACGGCCATTATTGTTACAGCCGGCAGTTGATTGCAATTTTCAGTGTGTGAGTTGGGAAGGTGATGGTCACAGGTGTAATTGTTTTGTAGCAGACGTTTTGAGTTTGAAAAAGGTAGCGGGAGTAATTGTTGGATTCGCTTGTGGTCGATATGGACCTGGGTTCTATTTAAGCTTCGGTGGTAACAGTTGATTGTGGCGATGGAAGTCTGTGTGGTTTGGGGTCAGAATTTGTAATTGAGGCGGAAGGTTGTGGCCTTGGCAGTTGGTGGTAGTTTCTGGTGATGACGGTTGTGGATTTTGCAGTAGCCGTGGGGAATTGCAGCAGATGGTTGTTGGGGATTTGGTCAGTGTATAGGTAATAGATGAAGACGGCAACGGGGTGGTTTGTATATTCGATTAGGTTTCAGTACATGTTCCAGTAAGCAAATTTGAGCAGCACAGGGTAAATATAAAAAAATAAGGAGAGGAGAAGAAGGGGAAACCGGGGGGGGGGGGGGGGGGGGGAGGGTGAGCTAGTCCCCATGGCTCATCTCAAACAAGCGCGATTGGTCAGACTGCAGCCAACTTTTTATTCAATTAATTCATTGTCTCAATTACAATGTAAAGTAGGTTTAAATACTGAAAATACTGCAAACCTAAAAGATAGGGCCAAGCCTAATACACAAGTTCATAAAAATAAAATAATCCAAGTCTAATTAAGAAATAAAAGTCCAACTAAAATAATTAAAACTGGGATGTCCTCATCACAGTGAAGTCATAATTCCATTAATTTATCATCAATCTGTGCGACCAATAATTGTTGGCATATGTTTTCATTTCTTGCCTTATCCATTTTAGCACGTGTGGGCATGATGTCCTAGCATCCTCATTTCTGCTACACTTACAGGTCAAGTGTCCAATGTATCATAGAGGCAGGTTAAAAATTAACTTTTGTGGAGAACTGACCTTCAACTTGGATCTGTCAGACAAAAATCCCTCTGGCTCTTTTCCATTTCATCCAACCCACGCTAATTTTATGCATTACATTATATTCAGTTTATCTGTACTTATCAATAATCAAAACTAGTTACCCAAACAATCACTTTTTAGCACAATACGGTTCTCTATGGTAACTTCATTATTATCCTTATTTCTGCTATCCTAAGTGATATTGCATGCATTCAGTCTTGGTTCTACTTAAATTAAAATTGTTTTTACAAAAGCACTGTGCTACTGTTCCAAAATTCTAACTTACAATTGATCTCCTCTTGAGTCAGCTAAACTGTACTATCTAGCTATACCATACACCAAGAGATCTATTGGAATATGTCTTGTTAACATTTCCACGACTAATATGAAAAGAAAAGAACTTATTTCAGAACTTTGTTGCAAGACTATAGAGACAGTAAAATCTTATCGCTACTGTTACTGCATCTCGCACTCGTGATTGCTCCATCATACATGACAGTGGGAACTATTTAAAGGTTCCCCTAAGGTTGAGTTTCTTTAATTCAGATTCTTGTGATAGAGTTATTTGGAGACTGTAAACGAATAGTGGTGATTTTTATTCTTAAAGTTGACTCTTGGTTTTGGTCCATTTAACAGTGTGGGGTTGCTAGAGCAGCAGGCTTCTTCTTCATGCTCATCCAAGGTATGTACATTTGAAGGCATTTTATTTGCTTTTGGTTTTCGTCCATGAGCAAGACAAGTCATAAATGCCTTCCTCTATACAAAAGAGAGATCCACTGATTGCTGTGGAACTTATCTGTGTATAATTTTACTGCTCAGAAATGAGATATGTTTGATTTGTTTCACTTCTCCACTATAATTCGTGACATTCTTTTTCCGTGGAAGATATTTAAATCATGGATATAATATTTTCCATTTTATGAGTTAATGAAAAAAATGCTCAATTGGGCAAGTCTTGAGTTCCCAGTTCCCTATAAAGGCAGAAAAAAGAAAACAAAAAATGTTATGTGGCGTAGGTACAGTGTCACTGGTCTTCCACTGCTAAAAAGTTGCAACATCTTAACATAGAGCTTGCATGTGATATCAGTGTTTTTTTAAAATTAATATTTAAACAGCTTCTTTGAAGTATAATTTCTCTTATTTTTTTCATTGTTTTCCCCTTCTCTGAATTTGAGAAAAATAAGAATGCCTCGTAATGTCTTCATTAATGATTTTTTTTTTTTTTAAAAATTGTCTTGGTGTCATTTCACATGATTTCTTGGTAATCATGTAGTTCTGATGTATTGTTTCTGTAATTGGTAAGTTCCACAAGTTTGTGACTATATGCAGAAAAAGCAAGATCCTTCAATTGCACAAGGTGGGAAGAAAACCCCAGAGGATGAACTGACTTGTAGTGTTTGCTTGGAGCAAGTTAATTTTGGAGAACTCATTCGGAGCTTGCCTTGCTTGCATCAGGTTTGTCATTGGCACTGTTGAGAATTGTTTACGAGCTATATTTGGCTATGACATCTGGGAAAGCACGTTGGTTGAACATAGTTGTGTTTTCATCAATTTTTGTATGCATCACTTGGCATTCTTATCTCGTGTTGCAGTTCCATGTAAATTGCATTGATCCATGGTTGAGGCAGCAGGGGACATGTCCAGTTTGCAAATTTAGAGCTGGGTCAGGATGGTCCGAGAATGGACAAGGAGATGCTTCGTACATGGTTTAATTTTTTCTATTAAAAAATATATGTAACTTATATGTTAAGAGTAAATAAATGTACGCAGGCATAAATTACAATGAACGGTTTTAGCGGCTACCTGCCTTGATACTACATGTTAAAGGAACTGTCATGAACCTGGTTAATACCTTTAGTCAAAGCTTTTTTAATTTCCATGCTTTATGCACAACTGCATATATCGAAGAAAAGGGACCAGCACATTGTTTGTCCTTCTTGTATCTACAGTTGACGAGGTGCTGCCTTCCGCTATGAACTGACCAACAGAAGGGGTGGCGGAATGATTCAATTGTGAGAGGGGCTAAAGAGGTATGGAAGTATTTGGGATGTTTTGCTGGGATTAGTGCGAGGAGCTAGGGTTGGGTAGGGTAACGTCGGGTGTGGTTTCTAATTGTCTATTGTGGGTCTTTAGGGGGTGAGAGGAATAGTGTTGCAAGGGGGCAGAGGATGGCATTCTCTTGCTGGATGGAGATAGTTGCTGGGTTGGTGATTAGCCGCATTAAGTGGGGCGAACTATTCATTGGCTCAACGACTTGTATTGCCTAACAAATAAGTGCATGCTAACTTTGAGCTGAGCACAAAGCAATCAGAGTGTTGATCCTCTTACCTTCATGACCATTATTGCAAATCCAAGCGACCAGTTGAGCAAGCTAGCTTGCATGAGAGCTCGTCTCGAGTTGAGACTAGGCGAGCTAGTATGCATGTTCTGAGATTTATGACATACTCCATCGACACGGTGCTATTAATTCATTCAACATTTTTGCAGCTTGAATTTTAATTTTAAAATTTGAATTTTTATCTTTTATTATATATATATGCTTTAGGCGAGCTAGCGTGCATGTTCCGAGATTTATGACATACTCCATCGACATGGAGCCATTAATTCATTCGACATTTTAGCCACTTGAATTCTAATTTTGCAATTTGCTTTATTTATTTGTTTTTGCTTTTGATTATGGTTCTATAGTAGGATCAGGGATTTCTTCGTTTCCAATTATTTCTTCAGTTCTAACTTTTTTGTACCAATTATTTCTATTAGTTGGAGTTCTTATCCTTTCTACAAAATTCGTAATGGATTACAGTGGATATGAACTCCAATGATGACGTTGACTAATTTTTCGATGGCTCTAATACTTTTGCCTGTGATTTTTTCTCTAAGCTAATGTTCCAATTTTGAAAATATAGATACTACTGAATTGATAACTATTGTGCCTAATGATGATTTGAAAGAAAGGGTCTCTCACTCAACAAAGAGAAAAACGTCTAAAATTTTTGCGCTCTCATCTCTCTAGAACGGAAGAGCTGACCACACAACTCAAACCACCTTTCAGTTGCCCAAGCCATTGGATTTGGACTCTATCCACCGTCGCCCTTCTCACCCCTACTCACGATCGGCCCAACCAACACTCACAAGGACTCTATAGCCCTAAAACCAAGTTTATTGGCGACAGACCTAGGTGAAAATCTCGTACCATTACCTCAATCAATGGGCCCTACCACTTCAACCTTCCACCAGTCATATAACCAGCCCTTGGCAATCCCAACCATCCATTGGGGGGTCGAGCTAAGGGCCTTTGTTATTGGTCACCAAAGAACCACCACTCACCTCCCATGACCATTGGTTACCAATCAATTGCTCTAATTTCTCAATCTCCTATTTTAGTCAAAACACTCATCCAGATAACAAAGTCAAGGCTTTCTAGGGGAACCCATCTCTTGGGATTACCATTATGAGTTCTTTGACCAAGTGAGCTTGGCATACTCAAATTCAACCAAAAAAATTGCCTTACGATTTGAGCCTTTGCCACCTGGGGATGTGTGCATGGACAACACTCTTTCTAATGCAGTACATGTGCCACTCTAGCAAGCTACCCAGCGAAATCCAAGTTAGCCTCTAAAAGGTCCCCACTTTTAGGCCTTCCATTGGGATGATACACATACCACCCATGTTGAGCGTAGGGCACCGGGAGCGTACCACACACGCTACCATTAGTCCCTATAGTTCTTCCACTATTTCGAGACCTTTCCTACCATCTATTTTGCCTTTAGATACTCAGTCTACATAGAATCAAGGTAAGAAGACTTATGTTACAGTAGGTTGGGGTTGACAAGCTATTTTTCAGGTTGATTGCAATCTGAGGAAGACTTTTTGTTTTTGTGCTCTAGGCGCCTACCCACTGATTCCACTTCTAAAAACTTTGTTACTAAGGCACTTTACATGCACCTTGATGTAACAGCTATTACTATTTCAAAGGAGGAGGAGGAGGCTATTCTTTCTAAACCATTCAAGTTCACACTTGTTCGCGAATTCTCAAACTGCAAGTCCTCTATGATTAAGGTATAAGAAAATTTCAAGAAGTTTGGTTTTTTGGGACCTCGGGCTTAAGTAGGCACAGCCAGTTTAGGGTGTCTGTAAAGGTCAATTTGGATTATAAACTTCTGAATAGGGTTTGGATAGAACGGGATAAGAATAATTGTTTCAAGCAGAAAGTTATTTATGAGAAGAAGCCAATGTTTTGTTCTAAGTGCGATACATGGGGCACTTAAGTGATCAGTAGTTTGATTGCAAGGACTCCTACTCCTATTGTTATCGACACTCCTCTCTACGTCCTACTGGTTGGGCATGTAAGGGTAATGGTAAGGAGGTGGTTGTGAAGTCTCCTGAGCACTATGTACCAATTTATGGTTCTACTACTAGACAGCATATGGCTAGCTTCTCTGTCGTACACATTGTGATATCCACTCCACTAGCGGTTCACAAATTACTATCATTATTAAGTTATTATTGCTCTGTCAATTACTGTTGTTCTGTTTGTTATTACCGAAAACCTGTTGTTATTTATTCAATTGTTGGTTTTACTCCACGATCTATATTTAGTATGTGCTGTTACAGTTGCTCCCACAATTGCTCAAGTTGTATATTTTTCGGTGGTCATAATTCAATACTTAACTCCTTAGTTACATGCCCTTTCTTGTATCTCCAGATTGGGCAGCCTCTAGATTCTGATGAGATGTTAGTAACAGCAGACTCTTCCTTAAGACCTCGCTTCGTTTTGGTCCCAACTCTGGCTCCCAGCCTACATCTCAGTTTCCATGTGAATGTGAAGGCAAATGTGCCGTCTGATAAAGAAATCACTGCTTTCCTTAGGGTCAGTTTGACATAGATCTTTTGATGACTTAATTAGAATGGAACAGTGAGTTGAGGATAATAGCTTTGTACCTATTTTGCATAAGAGTCCAAAGATGACAGATATTCCTTCGCCGACTAAGAGAGCAATTAGGAATACCAGTCATTCCCCACCTTTTTTTATGAGTGTTCTTATTTGGAATGTTAGCTAGTACATTGATTTTGTAGTAGTTTCTTTTGCAGCAGAACTTTGACTTTATTCGATGATCTCCTTTGATGTAGAGGTTGAGAATATGTCAAATAAGATTTGATATTTCTAGAATATGGGGACAATTATTTCTATCATTGGTTATCATCCTCAGTTCCTATATGCTAAAATTAAGGATCCTAGATTTGCTAGACCAATATACATATCTTTCGTTTAAGCTTCTTGCTCTATTGTCATAGAAGTGAGGGAGATATGAATGTTATTGCACATCATGGTGAATGCATATGAGGAAATAAAGGGATAGAGGTACTTCAAACTTCTATGATATGATGATGGACGGTGTTTTGACTGATGCCGCGTTTTCAAGGATTTAGTACACTTGGAGCAATTACAGGGTATGGACACGTTTGGATAAAATGTTGATTAATTCTATAGAGATCTTTCATAAATAACTTACGAATAGGCATTTGAATCATAGTTAAATATGATCATTCACCTTTACAATATGATTCTGTGCCATTACCTCCGCTTTCTCAACATGTTGACCTAGCACATTATTTTTTAACCTTTGTCTCTTAGAAGTGGTTATTCCTAACTCATCATATAGGAACTATTGTTTTTGTGGGAGATATTATTTTGGCTAAAATAGGGACTACGTTGGTTAAATCAACATGTATTTGGTAATATATTTCAATGGATTAAGGATGTTGAGTGTTGGGTAATGAGGCAACGAGAGTATGATATAAAGTCCACACCAAATCACTGTGATATTTTACATTGACCACGACAATACTGGCCGAGTCAAGGATCACAGTTGTACTTAGCCCATTGACACACTAGCAACCACAGTTTTTCCAACTTTGCCCACTCTTTGAAAATATTAATTTGAATTGTAATTTTCTTTCAGTTGTAATAATTTATTTTAGTTGTAAAATAGTCTTGTTATTTTTAAACATTTATTATGATTCTCATCTTTTAAATGTCTATTTGTGTCATGTAGATTTGTTATTTAAGCTATTAAAGACGGGTACAAGTTATTTGACAGTCTGAACAAGCTCATTGGTGTTCATCCATGCACCAGTAATTGTAATTTTCTTCTTTCATCAATTAATGAACAATTTATTTCCAATTGATTCAAATTTTTTGTTGCAAAGGTTTCTTTAAATTGTATTCAATTCGTATTTCCTCCCAAAACAACCGAGAAAAGATGGTAGGTAAGCTATGGAGTAGACTACTATCGTACAGTGCCCTTTTCCTGCACGCGAGAAAGAAAGCACCTTGTGAAAGTTGGTATCAGAGTCGTGGTTTGCGATCCTCAATAAGAAAGCTATGGATCATAATGCATCACACACCAATGAGGTGGGAGATCCAAAGAAGAGTACAGCATGTGGATGCGCTTAATGGGCAAATTGCCAGATTATGGGATGCTTTTGAGAGCCTTGAGAAAAAAATTGAGGTGTCAAAAATGAATATATGAGAATTATACATCCAATTGGATAAAAGTCGACTAGCTTGTACATGTTGATTGAAGTTATTGCAGTCATCCCTAATCAGTAAGGAGAAATAGAATAATTGACTTCAGTTGTGAATACTGCACGTCCGATTGGCAATGTGCTAGCTCTTGCAAATGAGTATGCTTAGAATCTCAAAACTGTACACTATGGAGGGGCACGTGATCTAAATGAAGTTTGAGAACTTCCTTGAAATGGAACAATAATTTCTTATGGCTATCATTGAAGACAAAGAAAGAAAGGTAACGATAGCTACCCCGTATGTAGGTAGCAACGCAAAACTATGGTGGTGACATAATATGTCAATATT